AATTAATTGAGACTAGAAGAAATAGTCCCCGACAACGGAGCCAAAAATTTGTTGTAAATTTTGTTTCGCAAGTGAACGACCCGCAACAAGTAATAGTGGACCTAAGAGTCCGAATTGTCGATCCCACAAGGACTATGTTCTAAGACTTAATTCAATTTTTCTTTAACTACTATTTGACTAAAACAAATTAAAGGTTGTAAAATCTAGGTTTTAATCTAAATTCTAGAAAATAAATGAATGTTCACACAATTGGTTGGAAAATCAAATAATGAATGGATGTTAGGGTAGAATAACTTTACCAATTGATCACCTTTACATCTCAAATTAAAACTCAATTCTAATGTAGCGCTCGATCGAATTCTCCTATTGTATTCAATTTACCCCTCTCGAGTTCTCATTGAACCTATTCAACTAATTAAATTTCATATCTCTATGCAAATTCAACTTAGTTAAATGAGTTCTATGTCTTAGGAATTCAATTATGACCACAATAAATGGTATAGGAATCTCTACTCGTTATACCAATGTACTAAATTTTACTACATGGTCTAAATCCTAAACTCATATCTCTATTTGTAAAGAATTCACACAAATCATCAAATCATTGATCAGATAATTTAATGCATTCAACTCATAACAAAATCAACACATGGAAGAATTACAAACTGAAAGTCTTAATAAGAGAATGTAAAAGATCTCAATTGGTTACATTATTCCCCCTAACAATGAATTTAGCTATTCATAATACAAGAAGAAAAGTATGAATTTGTCTTAGAATACATCACCGATTTTGTAATAAAAATGTAGAAGAAAAAGTAGAATTCTTGCACCAAGATCTCCTTCCTCTTCTAATGAATGCTTCTAATCTTCAATTACTTGGTGTTAATCTTCTTGAATTTTTCTTTTGAATCTAGAGATGGCAATTTGAACCGTCAAAATCAAAAATCGCGGTTAACCGAACCGAATGGGACAAAAAAATCGAACCGATAGTGCAATGGGGCGGATATGATTTTTATTTTAATGAACCGGTTCGTGGCGGTACGGATATGGTATTTACAGCGTCGAACTAAAACCGAACCAATTACCTGCTAAAAAAGACAATTGAATTGATTATTGGGATTTACACTACTTTTCTATCTAGCCCAAAACAAAATCCCCCCCATTACATCTACATAACTCAGCCGGCCAACCCACTTACCATTACCCCATAATAATAGTATTAGTATGACAGTATATAAATGCAAACCCTACTTTTCACAAACCACAACTCATGCACGGCTCCTTTTATTGTTAATTTTTTTCTATTGTGTGTAAAAAATTTTACTTCTTCATCATACTCTAGAGTTTGTGCAACATTTAGCGAGAAGGAAGCTGACGAAGAAGTACATTTTTTTATTTAAATCTTAGTTAAGATCATTCTGGAATAGGTAGTATCATTGTATTCTCTACTTATATTTCTTATTTACTATATAGAAATCAACTTTGAGTGTTGATCTATACTAGTAAGACTTGTGGGGAAGAATAAATCAAGTAATTTCGATGCACAACAATTAAGAATGAAGGAAAAGTTTAGTATTGTTATATTTATAATATTGTTTGTTAAATTTGTATTTTACAATTGAAATTTGGGATAACGTTTGCATTTTCGTTTGGAATATTGTATTTTTGCTTTCATTGACTTTTTTCATAAATTGTTTTATAGCAATTTGACGGATGAACCTATAAAAAATAATTTATTTTCGTGTTTATTAACCGAACCGAACTGTGCCGAACTGAGATACAAATCGAACCGAATCGAACCAATTTACATGGTTATGGTGCGGTTATGGTATGGTAAAAAAATTGGTGGTGCGGTTATGGTTTTGGCCGAACCGACCCATAACCGAACCGTTGCCAACCCTATTTGAATCTCCCTTCTTTTTGTCTTCTCTCCAATATGTTAAGAATCCTTCAAAAATATGAAGAAGATGTATTTATAGGTGCCCCTCCGTTTTATGTAGAAGTAGGGTTTTAATGGATCTAAAAAGGGCCCAAAAAACGCGCCCTAGATCTTCAATTGCAGCGCCTAGGCGCTACGAGACAGCGCCTAAGCGCTGGTTATAGCGCCTGGGTGCTATGTCTTCAACGCCTATGCGCTGATGGTAGCACCTGGGCGCTGTGGTTTCGGCGCCTTGGCGCTGTGGTAGCACCTGGGCGCTATGGTTGTGGCGCCAAGGTACTGTCTTTCGGGTCCAAATTTCATCTTTTTTTCAGTTTCATAGCGCCTAGGCGCTATGAATGCAGCGCCTAAGCGCCGTCTTCTTGTCCCAATTTCGTGTTTTTGGCCTCTTCATCCACTTTAATACTTCTTTTCACATCACTTTTCCTAATTTTCAAAACAACACTAACAAATACATCAAAAACGTTCTATACTCACAAAATCTAGCATCTAATCAAGCTAAAATTGTACAAAAATCATGAGTGAAACAAACTCTTCAACAATCGGCCCATTTTTTTTTCACAAATAATTTAATAATTTAATTTTAAATTTTTTTTATTATTTGGTTTTAATAAATAATAAATTATTTAGTTTGTCGAATTTAGATAAAATTGTTACGACTAAATTTAAATAAAATTTTTACATTTAATTTTTGTTTTAATATTTATTTTTATTTTTTCATTTTGGGTAAATAATAATGTGAAATAATTGTTGGGAAAATTTTAATTGTAATTTGAAATAATTATTGGAAATTTAATTTGAAATTTAATATTTATTTTTATTTTTATTTTTATTTTTATTATTAGTTTTTGATAAATAATATTAATTTTTTTTTGCCCAAATTTTTTTCACAAATAATTTAATAATGTAATTTTAAAAATTTTGTATTATTTGGTTTTAATAAATAATAAATTATTTAGTTTGTCGAATTTAAATAAAATCTATTGATTACCGTTTTGTATGAGTTAGCATTTATGGATGAAGTTAATAATATGTAATGTTGTTGCTTGTGTAGGAGCGTGATCCAGTTGATCAACGATCACCTCCATCAAGGGCATCACCACCTTCGCCGAGGGCATCTCCTCCTCCGCCAGAGATGCCGCCGATGGCATCTCCTCCGCCGTCAAGGGCATCTCCTCCGCCTCCTCCGTCCAGAGACCTCTCATGTGGATCTCCCGCACGTAGTCAGGGGCACTATTTTGATGATCTGTATGCCCGTCTGAGCAGATTTATAGAGGGACAGGTCGACGGGCTGCGTCAAGAGATGATAGAGAGGGTTGATGATCTGGGACGACAGTTGGTAGGAAAGGTCAAAGGTTTGTCGAATGAGATTGCAGCACTTCGGGGTGATAGAGCCGGTAGGCGATGGGTTGATAGAGATGGGGGTCTTCAGCAGTCATACATACATGATGACGATGCATGGGAATCGTTTATTTTATCTGTAGAGCGCGATGGGACGGGAGTAGTGACAGAGGAGGGAGGCCCGTCGGGGAGGGAGACGGAGGCAGATGAGGGAGTGGCCCCGTTGGGGACGGAGACGGTGGCAGATGTGGGAGTGGCTCCGTCGGGGACGGAGACGGAGGCAGATGTTGGAGTGGCAGATGAGGGAGTGGCCCCTCGGAGACCGTGGCAGATGAGGGGATGGAGGAGGTGGCGAGCCTTGGGGTGGAGGAGGTGGCAGTGTTTCAGGCAAAAAAGCTTGTTGTTGACATGACAGAGACGGTGGTCGGCAAGAGGCCGAGAGTGCCATCACAGTACGTCGTCTCTCCCTTCACGGTTGAGGCGAAGAGGAGGAGGTTCATCGATGGGACGTACCCCAATCTGTTTCGGGAGGTCGACCATGCGAAGTGGAAAGCATTCGAGGTTGAGTGGCGAAGAATGTTGTCCGGGTAGACGACTCGTATATGCTTCGTTTAACATTTTTTCTATTTTATTTCCAGAGCCACGCTCATGATAGTCAGAAGGACAATATTGGACGCATACAAGTGGTTCTATGATATCACCACTCAGGGGGCTTGGCTCGCTGACGATGTAAGTGAAGTATTAATGTTACTTTTTGTATACGTTATGTTTAATTTGGTAAATGAAATAAGTATTTATGTCTTTGATTTCCTTGATGTAGCACATCGACATCGACATGGCCATGGACTTGTTGCACGATCGAGTTGAGAGATATCAAACATCATTCCACAAGCCTGGCCGCATTATACTGAACACTGAGTTCTTCCGTGTCGTTACCATTGAGTATCAGTCCCTCCAGCTTCTAGGTAACGAGTACATGTTTCCCGCGTATATACTCGAGTGGGTCATCGGGCTGTCGCCGAGTGTTGGGGGAAAGCCATGGGAGGGTTGTACGCATTTGTACATTCTAGTTATCGCGAATCAGCACTGTATTGCACTGGAAATCATGTTCACTGATTCGACGATATATGTGTACGACCCCAATCATTCATGTCTGACACAGGGACAGCTCGAGCAGATCTTAGAGCCGATGACTGTGATCGTTCCTATGATGGCTAGACATGCGGGCTTGACTGTGGATGACAAACTAGCCATCGTGCGGGACGCGACGACGACGAGACAGTTTATATCGTAAGTCTTTGTAATCTTTTCTTTTTTAATTTAGTAATCGGTTCGTACATAATTGAAACCGAACTAACACATATTTGTTCATTTGCAAGGGCGATTGTGGGATTTTCACAATCAAATACATAGAATTTTTTAGTATAGCACATAAGGTTGATGGACTCAACCAGTCATGGATACAGAATTGGCGAAATAAGTTAGCATGTGATTTATACGAATTTAATTGTGATCCATAAATTATTTGTAAATATTTTTTCTACTTAATATTTGTAATTATTTTTTGTGATTATTTATGTAAATACTGTTCATTTTAATGTAAATACTATTCATTTCAATATAAATAGTATTCATTTCAATGTAAATACTATTCATTTCAATATAAATAGTATTCATTTCAATATAAATACTTTTCATTTCAATGGAAATACACAATGCTCTAACTGTCATTTAGGAAAACCTGACTTGTACAAAATTGGCGAGTATGTCCCACTGATTTGCACCTGCTACACCTACGCAGTCGGGAAAACTCTCCAGTAGATGGTATTCTAGAAGTACTTGGACGTCCAGGACCACGATGTTCAATGAGAGGTGGCGACAATGTATTGAACAGGCGAATATGATCGGGAACTTCCCACTCGGCTTCGTTTGGAAGCGAAAATATGGTTTCAACATACGCAGCTCTCCAGTTTTCAGCAGTGTAATAAGCAGAGCACAATGTTCTCGTTGCAAATCCTCGATATATAGCCACCGCAATTGCATGCTCACATGGAAAACTTTCAAACTGAAATTGTTTACAAGTGCATGTTCCATCACTTAAATCTACCATATATGCCATATGACGTGCACATTCCACAGAGAAGCGCGACTCGTCTAGTGGTTCGACATTTAACTTTCTCACAGCCTCTGCAGCCTTGAAGAGCTTTACCTCTCGTGCTGGGGCTAGCACGGTTGTGCAATTATGTGATTTCGCACGTCGATCGTGAAACCACTGCTGCAGCTTGGTACAGATATTCTCAATCAGTGCGAGAATGGGTAACTCTTGATCCCTCTTAAATAATGCATTGAGAGACTCCACGTTGTTTGACGTCATCATGTTGTATCGACGTCTTGGAAAATATGAGCGCGCCCAATGTTCAATCCCCATTTTCGTTAAATAGTCCCATGTCGGGAATGATTTGCTTCCTATTTCAACCATGTACCTATTACACTCTTCAATACTGTAAGTTTCGACCGCTCTCCTAAACAATGAAATGATGCCTTTGCCCCGATACCTGGTCTTCAAGTTGCCTTGTAAATGGTACATGAAATACCCATGATGTGCATCGGGAAAAACTTCAGCAATACCATTTATTATAGACTGTCCCCGATCGGTGACATATGTAAGGTCCTCGACTTCTCCGATTACTTCTCTTAGCTTTGTGAAGAACCAATGCATCGACAGATCATTCTCGTTATCAACTATGCCGGATGTAAGAGGGTAAATTTGAATGTTGGCATCTTGAGATGTAGCAATAATCAACTGCCCTTGGTATTTGGATTTCAGAGTTGTACAGTCGACTAGAATTAGGGGTCGCATAGCATTTCGAAATCCCTGAATGCATTGTCCAAGAGCCATAAAGAAGAATTTGAAGCAGTTATCGGCCTCCGTCTCAATAAAAAATGCCGAGTCAGGATTAGTTTTCTCCATATTATGACAATACCTGGCCAATTTAGCATGGGTTTCCTCTGCCGAGCCCATTAAATCCTCCAATGCGCATTCTTTGGCCTTCCAGGCCTTCTGGTAGTTCATGACTACTCCGTACTCTCGATGAACATCGTTAATGATGTCCGATGGTCTGTAGATTGTCCGTGGATCCTGATACTTGTGCATTATCTGTCGACCAATAAATCAAGCTCGGGCTTGCCTGTGATCATTGCAACAAACTCCCACTTCACAAGTATGTTCTCGTGTATATTTGCAAATTACGAAGCACTCATTCATGTCCATCTTCATTGCTCGCAAACGCTAACTACAACTATCATTTACGCATGATAGCGTCAACAACGGCCTATTCGATTTTTTCACTCTAAACTCGAAGTTGTATTTCAGTGCAATTAGGTGCACGGCTTCTTGCAACTCTTTCTTCGTTTCAAACAGTTCCTCAACATACAAATCCTCATTATCAGGAACCACACGTGAGGAGTTAGAGGACGGTCCACTCGATCTAGCCCCCGAGGTGCCACCCTACTCATGTCTCTGTCGGGATAAACCAATCAAGTCCTCGTTTGTAAAAGTGTTTGCATTTTCATTCTCGTTGTCACGAGCAGCGGAGGGAATTTTGTGTGTAACTATCTCTTGAATAACCACATCATCTTCACGAGCTATCTCCACCGTATCCCAAAATTCATTAGCATTGTGTGCTTATTGTTCAGTTCAATCAGATAATTCACTTCATCAACAGAAGAAATCATTATAGGTGGAATCAGAACTGATGCATGCTCGATGAATTTAAATTTCAATTCCATGTTGTACTGAGAAGGATCAACATTCAACTTATTCTGTAAATCATTATAGAGTTCTGCATACGATGTACCTGATGATATGGAAATTACGATACCACCACGTTTATCACTTGTCCATTTCCATACCCATTGATCTTTTTCGTCCAATTCGAAATCTTCAAAGTAACAAACTGGGACTACAACCATATCTGCATGCCGAAACAGAATTTTTAATTTCATGAAAAATATCAACAGCAATAAAAATAACCCAAAAAATGGGAAAAGAAGAAAACAGTTGGCAAACAGCTGGCCGGCTGTGACTATTAAACAACCGACTGTTTGGCCGACTGTTTGACCAGCTGCCGGTCAAATAGTCGATTCACCGAAGCCGGCATAATATGCAAATGAATTTTTTCCAGTCAAATACTTCAAAAATTATAGATCTATTACATTTTTTCTACTAATCATTAAATGTCAAAATACAATTTACCGATTTAAACATACAATAATTTAACGAAAACAATATTAAATTTGCGTATATAAACTTACCGAACCGACGAGATTGATGTCCACAAATTTTTCGACTTCTGATCTCGATAAATTTTTAAGTTTCTGCAGTTGAAACAGATGAAGGATGAGAGTGTTTTATTTATCTGTGTTGGAGTATACAGATAAGAAATATAAGAAGTGTTTGGTTTTTATTTGTTAAGAGAAAGGGCATTCCTGTCTTTTAAAAAAATCAACTTTTGCAATTGTATAATGTATTTAAGGGTATTTTTGTCTTTTAACATTGGATAGGCCAATTTCATAATATCCCTTTGTTGAGAAGTCAATGTGAAATTTAGATGCTTTGACCAAATTAATTTTAAAAATACGCCTTAATCATTCCGTGCACCCCGTCCCGGGCATTGCAGTCGTGGCCCAATTTATTATTTGGGTCGATTGTGGTTCCCGGCCAATAACCGGTTGACCCGGTCATTTTTTCAAAGAGGCCTTTGACCAATTAAAAAAAATGAAAAAAGCAAAAATGTTTAAAATATTGAAAATCAAGAGAAATCCAAATTTACCCTTACTATTTAAAGAAGAAAGAGAAGATAGTAAGGAAAGAGAAAAATTACTGTAGCACTGATAAAAAGGGGAAAATAGACGACCCATATTTAATGTTTTTATGTTGATTTTTGGAAAGAAAAAAAAACATGATTTTGTATACATGTGTTGATTTTTGGGTAAGGACAATAACTTAGGAGGAGGAAAATGGAGTAGAGATCGTCGAAAGTGGAGTTTTTCGACGATCTCCACAAAGGAAACGCTTAGCCCAGTTGACTGGGCCGTTTAGGCATGCCCAGACGACTCGGACTCACCCAAACGACCCAGTTGACTGGGCCGTCTGGGCGCCCAGACGGCCCAGAGGGCCGACCGTTATCTAGGCCCAGAATTTTTTTTTAAATTACTTATTTATTTATTTCCTTTAATTTTTGAAGTTAACTATTTATTTTAATTGCTTATATTGTGTTGTCTAATATTTAGTTATTATTTGAATTGTTTAATTTTAATGTATATTATGTATTTAAAATTATTTCTTTGAAATGCTTAATATAAATGTTTTATTATTTATCTAAATATTTATTATTTGCCAATTTAGTTTTAATTACTTATTTTATGTTAAGTAATAGTAAAAAAAATTAAAAGAAATAATTAAATATTAAATAAGTAATATACATAAAGAACTTAAAGAAATATTTAAACGTCTATAAAATAATAAATAAGCAATTAAATTAGAAAATTAAAATATCAATCAAATTAAATTTCTGCAAAGCAATTAAAATAAGTTTTTAAATATTAAATAAGCAATATGCATAAAGAATTAAAAAAGTATTTAAACATTAATTAAAAATAAATAATTAAATTAAGTGTTAGTAAAATAATTAAAATAAGCAATGAAAATATTAAAATAAATGATGAAAATAAGTGTTAGTAAAAAAATTAAACGAAATAATTAAATATTAAATAAGAAATATACATAAAGAGTTTAAATAAATATTTAAACATTCGTAAAATAATAAAAATAAGCAATTAAATTAGAAAATTAAAATATCAATCAAATTAATTATTTGCAAAGCATTTAAATAAATATCAATAAAGATTTTAAATAAATATTTAATCATTTTTTATTTTTTAATATTGAATTTAATTGTCTATAAATATTTCATGAATTATGTAAATTGTTTATTTAAGTAAAATAATTAATTTTTTTATTTCATCTTATTTAAAATATAAATAATGAAATAAATATAATAAACAATTGAATATTCAATAAACAATTAAAATAAATGAGAAATTAATATAAATAATTAAATGAAGTAAATAAATATGAAATAAACTATTAAAATAAGTAATTAAACATTAAACAAACAATATACATAACCAATTAAAGTAATTAATGAGAAATTTAAATAAATATTAAATTAAATATTTAATAAGTAATTTAATAAATCAAATAATACTTTAATTGTTTATGTATATTATTTGTTTAATATATAATTATTCATTTTATACTTTATTTGTTTATTTAAATATTTCACGAATTATGTTAATTATTTGTGTATATTGTTTATTTAAATAAAAAATAAATAACTAATTGAAATAAATTCAATAAACAAGTAACTTAAATGTTAATTAAGCAATAAAAATAATTAATTAACGTAAATAACAAATAAATATAAATAACAAAAACTAGTTTAAATATGTAATTAAATATTAAATAAACAATTGAAATAAATAATTAGAATTTAAATATTAGTTAAATATTTTAAATGAACAATAAATATAAAAAGAAGTAATTTAAATAACTAATTAAATATTAAATAAAAAATTTAAATAAACAATTGAAATAAATAATTAACATTTAAGTATTAAATAAAAAATTTAAATAAACAATTGAAATAAATAATTAACATTTAAGTATTAAATAAAAAATAATTAACATTTAAGTATTAAATAAATAATTTAAATGAACCACAAATATAAATAATAAAAATAAGTAATCAAATATTAAATAAACAATTGAAATAAATAATTAACATTCAAAATAAACAATTAAACATTCAATTAACAATTAAAATAATTATTAAATAAACAACCAACCAATTAAAATAAATAATTTAAAGACACGTTTAAATATTGAATAAATAATTTAAATGAACAATTTAAATAAATAATTAACAATTAAATATTCAATAAACAATTTAAATAAATAGTTAACAATTAAATATTTAATACACAATTTAAATAAGTAAATAAACTATTTAATTTTCAAATATTATGCTCTATCTATTGTCTCTTATACAAGATCTAAATATTTTAAATTTTACAAGATGAATTACCATTTGGACGTCGTTATGAGACAGATTCCCGACAAAGTTACGTAGAACTATAATTTTGTCAGTTTCGCATTAGTTCTAAATTTGTTGGATGAGGAGCATGCAGACCTGTTACACTGATCCTACTTATGACGATAACTTTGGCATGGTTAGGAGATGCATTCAATGAATGCGACGATATGTTTGACAAGTTGAAGTTGAGGATATTTATACTAGAGAGCATACTGAGGTGTCATCACAATAAGACGTCGATCGACGTCTTTCATTTGGAAGTTTTTGATGACATTGACACATTCAACAACAACTATCCATGGGGACCAAGCTGACATTTATCAGCTCTCCTCAACGATCCTGAGGTACGTATTATTCATTTGTGATTTATGTTGTACGTCATTTCGAAATTTCGATGCATGGTCGTTAACTCGATGAGCATTTAAATAATAATTAAATGATTATTTGAATGATAAATAATTAAATGATTATTTAAATGATAATAAATAACTAATTGAAATAAATTCAATAAACAAGTAACTTAAATATTAATTAAGCAGTAAAAATAATTAATTGACATAAATAACAAAGAAATATAATTATTTTAAATTTTACAAGATGGATTACCATTTGAACACCGCCATGAGACAGATTGCTGACAAAGTTGCTTCGAACTATAACTTTGCTAGCTTCGCATTAGTCCTATATTTGTTGGATAAGGAGCACGCAGACCTGTTACACCGATCCTACTTATGACGGTAACTCTGGCACAGTTAGGAGATGCATTCAATAAATACGACGATATGTTTGATAAGTTGAAGTTGGGGATGGTGTTTATACTGGAGAGCATACCGAGGTATCATCACAAGAAAACGTTGATCGGCGTCTTTCATTTGGAGGTTGTCGATGACATTGACACATTCAACAACTATCCATAGGACAAAGCTGACAGTTATCAGCTCTCCTCGACGATCCTGAAATACATATTATTCATTTTGTAATTTATATTGTACGTCATTTTGAAATCTCGATGTATGGTCATTAACTTAGTGAAATGTTAATATGTCAGCTTGAATTGCTCACTGAGCTGATACCGTTGATCAAGGAGGAGGGTCAGAATCATATCTGAAGAGATACAGTATGTAGGTGATAGGAGTCCCAAACAGTGATAGAGAGTAGCGGAGATGGTGACAGAGAGGATAATGGTGGAGGAGTGGGGATGTACACAGTTGTTTCATTAGAATCATTATGGATGTGAGTGGAGATGGAAGAGGTGTCGGTGGTGGGGATGAAATAATTGTAATAGTTGTATTTTTTTTATTTATGAAATAATTGTATATATTGTGAAATTTATTTAAATAAGGTAATGAAATATTAAATACATACTACACACAACTAATTAAGATAATTTATAAATGAAATATCTAAATAAGAAATTAAATTAAATATTACTTTTTTATTTAATTAAGTGATTAAATAAATAATTAAACAACGTAATTAAATATTAAATAAATAATATACATAACTATGTCGAAGAGGACCCCCAACTCGACAAATAATGTCGCGAGTTGGATGGCACATTGTACGAAACATATTATTGACGTGCTAGAGCAAATTGTTAGCAAGAGGACTAGATTGCTGTCACAACACATTGTTTCTCCGTACACGATCGAGGTAAAGAAGAGAACATCTGTTGACGGTACGTTGCCCAACCTCTTTTGTGAAATCGACTAAGGCGATTGTGAAATCTTCGCATTTAAGTTAGGGCTGTAAATGGATCGGATTTGCTCAAATTCGATCCGATCCATTAATAATAATTATCCTATCCGATCTGATCAAATAATATGACGGATATTTGAATGTTAAATTCATATCCGATTAACTATGTTATCAGGTATCCAATCCGAAATTGAAAAAATTAGAAAAATAAAGATTTTATTTATTTATTAGATAGGAATGACCTATATCCATATTTGATTCATTTAGTTAACGAAATGTCGAGTTTGAATCTTGATTGGGTTATCGAATTAAGGTCAAAAATCCATCTCCCATTAATTTCATTGGATTTAGATCGAATTCGGATCAAAATCCAATCTATTGATTCATTTAGGTAACGAATTATCGAATTCGAATCTCGATTGGGTTATCGGATTGAGACCCTAAATTCATCTCCCATTAATTTCATCAGATTCGGATCAAAATTCAATCCATTGATAACCCTAATTGAAGTACATTAAATTTTTAGCATCGAACGTGGTGTAGAGCTAATAAACTAAACACACATTAAAATGCAAGCTTTCTTTTATGTACATTGTGATCCGTAATTGTAATAATTTCAAAAGTAAGCATTTTTTTTAAAAACGTTTGTAATACTTTAGTTTTTATATAATTATATAATAAATAACTAATTATTCTTAATTACATATATAACACACTATAAATAAAGAAAATTGAGGAAATCAATAACACACTATAAATAGAGAGTACATAGGATTTAAATAGATATTACACATTCGTTGGGTAGAGAGTAATATACCATAATCGGGAACTTCTCACTCGACTTCATTTTGTAGAGGAAATATAGTATTGGCATTATTAAATAATGTTTCATATATTGTAAATCTGACCATGCCTAAAGTTCAACTTCCATCTCTGTTAAATATTCTCATACATCATGTGATTTATGTTCTAATTAAATATTAAATAAATAATATACATAACCAATTAAGATAATTAATTAATGAGATATTTAAAGAATAAATTAAATTAAATATAAATTTTCTATTCGAATAAGTGATTAAATAAAGTAATGAAATATTAAATAAACTATATACATAACAAATTAAGATAATTAATTAATGAAATATTTAAAGAAGAAATTAAATTAAATATTAATTTTTTATTTGAGTAATTTTTTAAAATAATTAATTAAATATGCATAACCAATCAAGATAATTAATAAAAAAATATTTAAACAAGAAATCAAATCAATTATTGGATAATTCTACATGTACTAATTCATAAGGATGTTCATAATGTACATATGGAATTCCATGAGTGGAGGATCGAAAAAACTGTTTTTCAAATATCCAATAATGTTATGTCACCTGTATATTATGATATAATATTTTTATTTAAATAAATAACTAAAATAAAGTAATTAAATATTAGACATAATCAATTAAGATAATTAATTACTGAAATATCTAAATAAGAAATTAAATTAAATATTATTTTTTATCTAATTAAGTGATTAAATAAATAACTAAACAAAGTAATTAAATATTAAATAAAGAATATACATAATTAATTAATTAATGAAATATTTAAATAAGAATTAAAATAAATATTAATTCTTTTATTTAAATAAGTGATTAAATAAATAAATGCATAATATACATAATCAATTAAGATAATTAAATAATGAAATATCTAAATAAGAAATTAAATTAAATATTAATTTTTTATTTAATTAAGTGATTAAATAAATGATTAAAAAATAAATAAATAATATACATAGCTAATTAAGGCAATTAATTAAAAAAATATTTAAATAATAAATTAAAATAAATATTAATTTTTTATTTAAATAAGTGATTTAATAAATAATTAAATAAAGTAATTAAATATTAAATGAGCAAAATACATAACCAATTAAGGTAATTAATAAAGGAATATCTAAACGAGAAATCAAATTAAATATTATTTTTTTAATTTGAGTAAGTGTTTAAAATAAATAATTAAATAATGATCAATTAAGATAATTAATTAATGAAATATTAAAAGAGAAACCAAATTAAATATTTTTTTTTATTTGAGTAAGTGTTTAAAATACATAATTAAATATACATATATCAATTAAAATAATTAGTTAATGAAATATTTAAATAAGAAATCAAATTAAACATTAATTTTTTATTTAAACAAGTGATTAAATAAATAATTAAATAGATTAATTAAATATTAAATAAATAATATACATAATTGATTAAAATAATTAATTAATGAAATATTTAAACAGGAATTAAATTAAATATTAAATTTTTTATTTGAGTAAGTGTTTTAAATAAATAATTAAATATAAAGTGAAAAGGGTTTGGTTTTTTAATTTGTAATTTAAGGGTATTTTTATCTTTTTAAATAAAATTCTATCTTTTATAATTGTATAAATTACCTAAGAATATTTTCGTCTTTTACTCAACAAATAGCCATTTTGAGGATTGACAAAATTTTTTGATGAAGGTGAAAAAATCGCATTCTGACTTGACTAATTTAAAAATTACCCCCTCTTTTTCCTGCTTTCGTTCAACCGTTGATAAATTGGTAATAATTAGTGAACTTTAATATCAGAATCAATGGAATCCGGAGCTACTAAACGGAGCAGCTCTGAATCATTTGTTCCGGTATCGGTGCCCGATCCGGAACCGATGGGTCAGTCGGAATCAGAAGAAAATCTTACTGATATTTACGGAAAGGAGGAGACGACGCCGTATGATGGTCAGAAGGAGATTTTGAAAGCACTGGAAGTGTTGGAGCGAGATTCGGTAGCAATCGCTGGGAGCTTCACCTCTCTCTTTTCTTCTCTCCGTTTAGTCCTCTCACAGGTTTCTACACAAATTAGCGTAATCAGTTTTTATTGATTTTTATTGCTAACTTTATTGATGACTAATTTTAGTTAATTGAGGTTTTAAGTTTTCTGCCCTTTGATTCTATTTTTTGGAGCGAATTTAATGAAAAAGTTAATTCTTTCGAGTAACAAATTTGTTTTTTAAAACGTTGATTCCTCCTTTAAATAAGAAATGAACCAATTTAGATATTTTAATTGAAAATAGTGTTCAGCTGACAAATTTAATGCATTAATGAAATATTATTACCTGATAAAAGTTCACGCTGCTTGGAATTTCCTCCTGTTTTGTAGAACAATTAAACTGAACCACGAGGAATTAGAATTTGTAAAAAGTTAAATTGAGATTGGATGGAAAAATACCTAGTTCCAATTTGAAGCCCAATTTATTCCACCAAATGCAGAAGCCTAGAAAACTTATTCTTTAACACTTCGGAGGATGAAATCATATATTCATACAGTTAACTTGCTTTTGATGTTCTATTTAGAGTCTGTTTTAAGGTTTTTAAGGTGGAAATCTGGTTTTTTAGGCAACCAGCACGTCGGTTGATCATATGAATTGCTTCGGTGATGCAGCTGGTGGCCTTCAAGAATGTGGTAAATATAGTAATCTTTTGTGTATTCAATTCTCTATTGGAAAAACTTGACATGGTTGCTTATAGATGTTATATTTTTCATAAAGATTGTTATTTTACATCCTGTGATTGCTTAGTATTTCTTGGAAACCTAACAAAATGCTTGTCCGATTGCTTAAGGTGGGTCGCAATTTCATGTTATTGCAACTGTGGAGAAATCTAAGATGACTCATGCTGCTATTTTTTCCATTTTCCTTTTTTTTTTTTTTTTTTTTTTTTTAGTTTTCATTACTTTTTTGCTGGAGTGGTGGGATGGGATGGGTGTAGGGTGTTTGGATTTTTAGAAGGGAGCTTATATCGATACCTGATCTAGAAAGAGAAGCTCTTCTTAGGGTTTTGATAAACGAATCTTCTAAATCTCATTTTCTTCCACACATATCCTACTGTTCCTTCACCTCAAGCTGCTCTCATTCCTTAACGTCATTTTCATTTTTTATTGCCAACTCATTTGCTATGAGATGTTTCCTCCTTCAAATTGAGCTTCTTTTTTAGTTTACAACAATGGATCATTAATGTTGGTTCAATGATCGACGTACTTCTTGAAGCTATATTTGGTGTGCTACTTATTGACTACTACTTGTTTTGACATTCAGTGCTCGATGCAGCGACAAAAGGAAACCGGTACATAAATTCGTGTCTCAGGTTCGGCCGTTCGGATTCCATTTTTTTATTTGTAATGTTTGGAGAATATTTCACATGTGCTTATCATATGCCCAAAATATTTTCACATTTGCAAGATGCTATGAAGAAGTTTGCATGTTATTTTGAAGTTACCGATAATTCAGTTACCCGCTTTTGCTTTCCATGGCCTCCTGGGTAGGGAGAGACTTGAAATAGCTTTCTCCCATTTAGTTCATGCAACGAAGAGGACATTGTCTAGTCTTGACTCTTGAGTCCATCAAACCACTAGATTAACATATCCACTCATGATCAGGACAAGGGTATTTCCTCGTGCTTGGATCTTTTTGAGGAATTTATTGTCTTGGGAAACTGGTTTCTCTCTTTGGCTTTTGGAAGACCCCTTTCTTGGCTGACAGGAGAAAAATGAAAATTGCAAGGTTCTTGAATATGGCATAAGAGTGGAACTTTATATAAGAAGAAGCATCCCCTGTTTTTAGATGCCAAGTCAACAGCATGGAGTGTCAACTGGTGGGGTTGTTCTATATTGCTAAGTTAAAAAATTTGCTTGTTCCATTTCATCACGAGTTCATGACAATGTCAATAAAAGAATGTTTTATAATATTTTAGTATACAAATACTATATTACAAAAGAGACTATAAAGATAAGTACAGCATATTTGGACAATACAGCTAATGTCAGAAAAATTAGTAAATCCACGCAGTTGGTGTATAACTAGCATCAAATATCTACAGATTATGCAACTATCTGAAAGTGGTCTTACAATTTATTTGTTTGCCACTTCTTTTCTTTATTCCTCAATTGTGTTCCTTAGTTTTCCTTATTGTTTTCGTCATTTTTAACATGCTACTTTTCATCTTTGGTTTTTTGGTAATGATACAGAATAAATGAAGAAATGAAAGGGATTGAAAGCCTTGCCACACAGCTGTATCCTTTAATTGCAGTAATATACTCACTTAACAATTTTTCTTCTATTTTTTCTTTTGTCTGTGCAAGTGGTGGCCAACCTTCTTTGTCTAATCATGTCATGTGAGATATATATTTCTATGTGCTCATTCTTATACCCCACTACCCCATCCCTCCCCTTCCTCGATTATTTAAAAGAAAACTTCATTTACTCTTCCCATTTTACATGCAAAAATTCAGTCCAGTTCACCTCCTATAGACAGTTAAGTAGTTCGTAAAAGGGACGTTGCAGTTTACTTGTCTGCCAAAACATGTTCTGATATGTTTTCTTGTAACATGTAGAGATAAATTAGAAACATAGCCATTAAAGTGGATGCACTGATCTGTAACGTTGGTTTCATATGCATAACCTACTCTCTACGACAAGTATTGCATTTAGAAAAACCTATTCAGACGCATATTTTGTTTGGATTGGTGTATTATGTCTAGCATTCTTGTGTTGGCTCCCTTGATTTCTATAAGAAAATTCCTCCGGAGGAATGTAGATGCATTGGACTCTGAAGTGAATAGGCTTGTTACCTTTCCATGAGGAGATGATACTAACGAATGAAGCTTCACAGTTGCTTGTACATACAACATGCTGCTAATTATTTCATGCTTAAAGGTGGAAGTGCTAGGTTGCCCAAGAAATGCAATTAAAGAGATAAAACGGGGAAGAAAAGCATTGTTTAGCTCCGGTAAGGAGTGTGTTTTCGACTCAAAGGCCAGCAGCTTCTACAAATCTTTATAGTATTGTTTATAGGGCATTTCCTCGAACCATGAGTTAATGAGTTACCTTTTATACGGACTGCGTTGTACTTCATTCTAAACATATTTATGCCTTCACATTTTTCAGTAATTATTTAAAGATTTTTAGGAGTCGTGAAAATTTCTGATTGGATTATTTGGATACGCCCTTTTAATAAGATTTCTTAATCCACCATTTTGCGACTTCTATACTCTCAACTTGACAACATTTTTAATGAATAATGCTAACTTGACCGAAAAATTCTGCCGGATGCAGTGACCAAGGATGCCATGGTGGGAGTTGATTCGATGGGATAGCTAATTGTGTTTAAAACAATCCAATGATGAAAATTTGGTCTATTTGTACACTTTTGGTGTATGTAATGTGTTACACTCCTCTAAATGTAGGCTCCTCTCCATGTGAGGGTGTATAAAACATTATGTACAACCAAAAATGCACATGAAGCATCATCCTATGATGAAATGTCACGTGATATTATGTCAACTATTATTTCAAACTTTTTGTTCCTATAGCATGATTGTTTTCTAATAGATCATTCTAAACAAAATAAAGAAAAGTAATTCTAGTAAACGACTCAAAATTCATTAAGAATAGACTTCAATTTGTTGTAGTTGTTACTACCATGGTGATTAGCCCACTAGCTTGAAAATTTGACAAAAGGTTATGACCAATAAACTAAACTTTATATTTCGTAAAGTCATTTTCTCCACTTTGTTGGGTTTATTGCTACATCGATTCAATATCCAATAAAATAAATGTACACACCACCAAAGTTTTCAAGTATTACTTACAAAGCTTACAAGAAGAAAAGAATAAGCTTTTAGTTATACGCACACTATGCTGCATCTCCACTTGCAGGTCAATGAAACACTGAAAATGGTCAGAATTGATAGATAATAACGGAATGCTCCAAGTAGAAAGTTGTCAGCCATCTATTCAACCTGTAGTTTTTGCAATGACTCAGAAACCTCTTGACCTTTTGGAAGTATTCGAATCAATATGAAGTTTAGACCATCTAAGATTTCATCAATTTCTTTCGGAAGACAATCACATTCTGCAAATATTCGGGAAATTGCAAAATTTTCAGATAGGCAATTCCTGCTTCATGTTACCTCTCGACTACCAGCATTCTTGTGATTAAGATCCACTCATTCCAACTAGTACAGGGCAGCAGAAGAAAGCCGTGAAATATAATCTTCAAGTATTGAATTCAAGTATTATATCAACTATTGATTCCTCCAGAATGCCTTCTGAAATGTGAAAAGCAATATCTTCGGTATCTAGTCGGATGTCAAGCCATGATCCGGATTTTGCCATATCGCTTCCAGTAAGCAGGTCCAATGTTAACGGCCCTAACTGTGGAAGGTGGTGAAATTTGACCTTCTTGGTTACCTCATCAAAAACCTGATCTTCTGATAGCATAGACTTGATTTCCGGTTTGATGAACGATAGCCAAGGAGAAGAACTGATTTGGCGTTGATATATCTCTAGTAAAACTTCATTCATATGATCAAATATAAGTTTTGGGTCACAGCGAGATTCAGTAGGTAAAAACTCCACTTCATCAAATACGTATGCATGAAGCAGCTGTTCGGGTATTGCCCTAATCATTGATAGGTCGTTGCAATATGAACGAGAAGCTTCCAACACTGAATGGACATAGTTGGAAATGGAATCTTGCTTATCTATGTTGGCAGTTGGATTCACTGGGGGATCTATGGGGGATTCCTCAATCTCACGTGAGTATTGTTCAAAATCAATACGAAGTGGTTGCAATGGCTTTCGAGCTGCAAATAACCACAAATTACTACAATTCCGGATGTTGCACAAAAAATGAAGCAAATATTTAGTTTTATATTAGAAATACCTGATTGTACTTCAATGCTGGGTGGACTTGGCATGTCGTCTGGAAAAAATGGATCAAGAACAGAAACTGGACTTGGATGCATTTCTTGATCTTTACTGCCATTCACCCCATGTAATTGGTATATGCTTGGACTCGATGGAGAATCATCCAATGCAGAAGTAAAGATTTGATCATCTGAAGGTGAATCCTACGAAGTGGAAATTTGTTAGCTGGACTTGAAGTGCCAAAACTCTCAAGGGTGCAATGATGAAAAATAAAAATGAAACAAAGGACAACTAGCCCCAGTTGAATAAAATGGGATGAAGGTTTCACCAGTCTCAAGTTTGTTGCACTGCAATCTTCCTTCTGTAGTTCAGTTGCGTTATTTCTTTTCGTAGTACCACTAACATCGGTTCTGTTTAATTCGTTTGGCACTTCCAGAGTATATATATTTCCTGGTTGCAGAATGCCATTCACTTCTACTGTATGTGATTGACCTGGAAAAATATGAAGAACGGATAAACACTAGATTGACTAAAGTACAGAAAAATGTTCATTAATGGAGAAAGTCCTACCATTATACTTTGGACCATCTGTATCAGAACAAAGATTTACTTCACGGTCAATATTCTGGATATTCGAATCACCAGCCCCCCTAAAGTCACCACCTGATGGGACTTCTGCATTCTGTCTCCAAGCACTTACACAAGTTCTTTGTCTTCCCTTCTCTATGTTCCAACTGCTTTCCATGGTCATTTGCAAGTCACTGTATGGACCAAATCTCATTTGTGCAGAAGCAGAATCACATTCCCCATCCCTTTTTGGGCTTGGAGGCCAGGAATCTTGTTCAGGTGAGGAGAGAATTAGCCCTAAAGTTTTTGGGAATTTCTCGCTTTTTGGGCTCGCAGTCGCTGTTACATTCTTTAACCTCGCAGAAAGATGCCTTTTTGCCTCCACAATCATGTCAGACTCCTGTTTCTCCATGGAACAGACTCTTGACAGGTCTTTTTTATTGCGTACCATGCAAGAAGTATCAGTATCGTAGCTTGAATTGAGGTTCTGTGTCTTGCATAGCTCGTCTTTTGTCTTGGCATTGGTGGAAGAATCTGCAGTATTTCCACTTCCTCCAAATGAATATTTTAACTTTCGCTTCATCTCTCTGAAAAATAAGTATGTAGGTTTCTCATCCGGTCCTTTCCTACTTGAGCTATGGCGAGACTGCAGTGATGAGCAATGACAGGCAACATTTTCTGGACATTTTATGTTCTTCAGTGTTGGCTTTAATACTACTATCTTATTTGAAGACCGATGAGTGAAACTTCTTTTTGATGGACATTCACGTTGGTACTTGATCTTTTCCCACAAAAGAGTGTTCACATGTTTCTTTTTAATCTCTGCTGTACATTCAAACTTTTCGAAACTCCCCTCATTTTTACTGCCAAGTTTGAAGACATTTCCTTCTAAGATTGAATTGGTTATTTCTTTCTCCATCTGAAATTTCTGTAGGTTCTTAATGTATTTAGCTAGTATGGAATTCGGATCTTTCAGGAGTTTCACAAATAAATCCTTGTGAGAATTCAGAATTTCCAATGCATCAGAGAATAGTTTCGACTCTGAGTTTGCCCCTTCTTTACTGGTGAATTTTTTATCAAGAAACATCAGATCAACAAAAGCTTTGGCGCTCATCTGAACTTGCTGCACATTCATCTCATCGACTGCACCTCCACAATAGAAATTGTCTTCTTGGTGAATCTGATTGTAGGTTTCTTCCAAAATTGCTGCAACGTTGAGCTTATTTGGAAATATTTCTGCTGAACCCAAAAGGTGTTGATACGTCTGTTTTACTGCATTTTTGGGGCGATGCGCTGTTGTCTTAGTAGCACGTTCGGATATCTTGCTGGATGTCTTTTGATTTTTAGCTGAATGATCAAAAACATCAGAATAAGTTCCTCCAAGTTGCTGTTTCTCATCTATGATTTCCTTCTTTTTGTGCTTCTTGGTCGACATATCTCCTTGAATGGAATTTCTTAGACTTTCCTCACTTGCATCAACTGTAAGACTTGCCAAGTTTGCTCTATCCTGAAGCATATTATATCTAGGATTAGTCTACTAGTAATTCTTTCTAGTATGATACCTTTGAAGATTGACTTCATATCTTGTAAAGCTCACATTAGGCAATTTGAATATGAGGATGATGAAATATGCAAGTGGGGAAAATTCTTATGCTAAGTCTTCACAACACATATAATATAGATTAGAAAGGGTAAAAGTGCATGTTTGGGAAGTGATTATAAGTTGTGGATCCTATGGAATGTGTGGATAATAAGTAGGAAGAAGTTGTGGGTCCTACGAAATGTGTGCATAAAAAGTAAGACTATAATCACTTCCGAAACATGCACTTGTTTGATCTGTACAAAGAAATATATGTCAGAATATGGGAAGAAACAGAAGGACATCAGTTGAAGAGGGCTATGTATGACTACTTACTTTAATTTTCCGGACTTCTTCATCAAAGCCGGTAAGAATATCAGGCTTTCTTGGATACTCTGTTGGAAGAGAAGAGAAATCAAGAACTTGCAAATGATCAAATGGAACAGCTCTAACAAATGAAAACATACACGTGTGAAGCTATGGCCACATAAATCCACCTAAAATTTAAATGATGGAACATCATGATTTTGGTACAAGGCCTAACCATGTTCATGTACATAAGGACTTTCTAAATTTGTTGAATTAACAACACATGTTATCAACCTCTGTTTCCTAAATAATCATATATTAGTAAGAAAATGCTTCAATTGTCAAATTATAGAACATCAAGATTTCGGTATAAGGCCTAACTGTGCTCATGCACTATAAGGTCTTCCTAAATTTGTTGATACAACACATGGTGTCAACTGTCAAGAACTGCAGGGTCCTAAATAATCATAGATTAGCAAGGAAAAGCTAAACACAAAAATTTAATTATTGAGTTAATAAGAAAAACATGTTTAATCGCGTGGATCTTAATTGTCCTGTACACTTTTCCCTTGGATCACCCTTCAGGGGTACACGGAACATTCCATATTTGTATTAAGTCACCCAATATTCTTAAAATTTAAGAAGGATTCTTTAGGAGGGCTTCAGAATTACTGAATTAGGGATTAGGATTTAATCCATAACAAGACGAATCGCCACTATAAGGTCTTCCTAAATTTGTTGATACAACACATGGTGTCAACTGTCAAGAACTGCAGGGTCCTAAATAATCATAGATTAGCTAGGAAAAGCTAAACACAAAAATTTAATTATTGAGTTAATAAGAAAAACATGTTTAATCGCGTGGATCTTAATTGTCCTGTACACTTTTCCCTTGGATCACCCTTCAGGGGTACACTGAACATTCCATATTTGTATTAAGTCACCCAATATTCTTAAAATTTAAGAAGGATTCTTTAGGCGGGCTTCAGAATTACTGAATTAGGGATTAGGATTTAATGCATAACAAGACGAATTGCCATAGTTCATCTGCATTTTCTTAGAAGTTAATCTCAGTAACAAAATTTAAGGATCGAGAAACTCGAAAAAAAAAAATTGCTTAGCCAGAGTCTTTCCTCATATGCCAAGAAAATGAAATTTCTGTACAACTCAGCATTTCAATCACTCAAATAAAAGTATATTTCTTTATTCTACATACTATGAATTGAGGGAGTTTTACCATTCATGACATGTTTGTTCACAGGCCTCCCATTCAAAAGCTGTTTTCGACTAGCACAACCATGGTGGGACTCAAAGATACTGAATAATCCCCATTTACAGTTCAACTCACTCTTCTTCGCCCTCTCCTCAGGAATTCTTGCTGATCTCTTTGCCATGGCCATTACTCCACAACTTATTTTAGCATCAAAATTGACTCGTGCATCAACCCATAAAACCGAAAACTGGGAAAAGAAAAACAGAATAAATAAGTTTCTGACACTTTCTCGAACATGTACAAGGCAAGAAATCTTGCAGAATTTTCTTAATCATCACACACACATTTGCTCTCTCATAAGCAAGAAAACCTTCAAAATCAAGAAATCTTGCAGAATTTTCTTAATCATCACACACACATTTGCTCTCTCATAAGCAAGAAAACCTTCAAAATCAAGAAATCTTGCAGAATTTTCTTAATCATCACACACACATTTGCTCTCTCATAAGCAAGAAAACCTTCAAAATCAAGAAATCTTCTCTTAAATTATACACTTCAAACCAAGTTTTAAAGCTTGTTCAATACAATGCAACAACTTGTATCTGCACTAAATATTCAGTCAGTCAAAAATCTTAGAACTTTTTCCAAGAAATTCTAAATCATCATACTTACATTAGCTCTCGCACGAGCAGTAAAACCTTCGAAATCACTTTATTTTCTATTTAATTATACACTAAAATCCAACTTCTGAAGCTTATTCAGTGCCCATTCAACAACTTGCTGTTTTACTAAAATTGCTCCAATAAAAAATCTTGAAACTTCTACCAAGAAACAAATACACGAGACTTTAAGCAAAAGAACAAAAATGGGAGGTGGGATACCTGAAATTTCTCTTGTGATATCAGTTTTTGAGGAGTAATGGGAAAGAAATGACAAGAAAATAGAGGAATTCTTTGTTTGTATTTGTAGAAAATAAGTATTAAAGTAAAAGGTTGTTTGACACTGACCATTGCCAGCGTGCAGCGTACTCAACTATTATATGGTTTTCACTATTTTATGGTTTTCCTCAACTACTGCATATGAATTTCAGCTCAAGAAAGCTCTTTGAGCCCCCGTTTAGAATCAATCTTTCAAAATAATTGTCATAATAAAATATTTTTCATGTAAATTTGTCCCACATTTTTGTCCGACTAAAATGAGGAAATCTATCGTTGAACAATGCCCTTTGTACATGACACTATTTTACAGGGGACTTACAGACCCCCTCACTGTAGCTGGCAAGTCAGGTGCCCGGCCCTTGTGTACGCCCTGGCCGAGCCCCGAGAAATGCCCCTGTAAGTGAAGCGTAGTCTGTTAGTCTGTCTGACATCATGGGTCCTCCAGTACAATCCCATTTACTGCAGTTTCTACCCCATTTTTAGCACATTTGTCCTTTGATTTTGAAAGGCTGCTGGAATCTTTCCTACTTTTGGTCCAATTCAATGAGGACAAAACGGGAAAGGTGTGGTCATTTATATACATGTGAAATGATGGCCATGCAGCTGGGCCCACCATGATTTGAGATGAAAAATGCATTAGTAGGATGAAAATGAGGATCAAACGAGTGCTTAAAATTTTTTAAACTTCTTAATAATACATTCTCTAAAAATTTATTATTTAAAAATTCATTCTACTCCTTGTTAATGTGTTTGTATGTATACATGTATGTATATGTATAGAGAGAGATGTGTCATCAGCTACTATTTTCCGTTTCCTTGATGGAGCGTCATTGTGAATATTATGGCGTTGGTCCTCGATATATTATTCAAGTAAAATTTTCTAGTCCTAGATCTTAAAAAGCAAGTTGACAGGTGCACAATCAATATCCCATAAAGATTTTTTTTTTTCCAAATCTTCCTTAAATCTTCATATGTAATCCTCATAAAAACACGTCTCATGTTTGTTAAAGCTTATAAGTTATGAATTCTATAAAGTTTATGAATAATAAGTGAATAGTTAGATATGAATCCTACAAAATTTGTAGATGAAAGTAAGTTTGATCAATTTAAATTACAATTTAAGATTTTCCAAACATGCTAATAATTTGTCATCAACTTATTTAATTTTGAACCAAAAAACGAAGAAAATATCATGAAATGTACAATATTGGTTTAATGATAAGTTATTATTTAAGTTGCAAAATCAAATCAACCCATGCAATTTTCAATTTTGCATAGAACAAGTAATTGTCAGTTGTCACATATTTATTGACGGGCATGTGGAATTTCATTATGCATTATTGTGCCCATTTTTCTTGTCTCTTAATTTTGAATCTTACCAACTTGTCTGAGTTAGACACCAAATCATAGACAAGAACCAAATGTTGACATAACCATTCAATATCTAATCTCTTGACCTACATATATTTCTTTTTTCTTTTTTGGTTGAGAAAGAAAAATATTGCATTTTGTTAGGTACATAATTATAAATTATTTAGTTATTTTTTTACCTAATTTTTTAAACGATCGACTTTGCTCTGTTTAAGTCATTGAATTTTTTTTTCTTTTTTTCTTTTTTAATAAAAGTGGTTCTAACTCTCCAAGAAATTGCATCAAGACTCTTTTGAAATTCTAAGTTAAGTGGTATAGTCTGGTGAAAAAAATAAATAAATTATAGTTTTACCAACTCAATTTGTATTGGATATGATTAGATTAAAAAAAAAAAGCGACAAATTAAATTTTTATTCACGTTATTTTCCATTTCTATCTTCAATAAAAAGGTAATCTAGTTTTCTAAATAATTGCGTCTTCATTATTCTAATTTTTTTATTCTAAGCTAAGCTAAGCAAGTTAGCAATCTTGTGATGTCACCATAAACACAACTGGATAGGACTTAATTGATTTCAAAAAGTCATAAATGTGACAATATATAGCATCTCTAATACACAATTTCACTATTACGTCGATATCAAGTTGTCGCAAAACGTGACAAGCAAATAGCACCAATCAAGGAAGTCTCCCACCCTTGTGTCCGTCCTCATGATCGTCTCGCTCAAATTTAACGAGATCACAATTTTTTTTGCTTCAGAAATCATTGTTTTATCGAACTTGTGATAATAGTTAAATACTAACTCAACCATCGAGCAAGAGCAGATAGAGGATAGCCCGATCCAATCCCCAGCCCATTTCCATTTCTAGACCATTTTTTCCTCTGTTTTGTTTTTGTCAAGGATTTTTTGTCTTTTTAGTATTTGATTGTAGAGTGGTGAATGGTTAATATTGTGTTTAAATTCTAATTATTGGGCTGAAGAATTAAAAAGAAAATCATCTAATTGTGTTGTTATGCAATCAATTTAATAGGAAAATAATACTAAAAGGTGATAAAACATCTTGAATGATATTTTGACAATCGTTTGATTCGTTTCTATATTTATTAGGAGTGAGTGATATTGATATACACATGGACCTGCAAAAGATGATGGTGACTATTGATTGATGGTCTGTAAAGAAAAATGTAGAGTTCTTGTTTTTATTTTAAGGGATGTGATTGGCTAAAAAATGGTCGCCTTTTCAAAATTTTTAATTTAGTTGATTTAATTTCCCATAATAATTGTAAAAAATAAAATCATCAATTTATAAAAATTTAAGAATTTTTTATTAAATTTTATGATATTATCTATGGATTGATTTTATATTTACATTGTTGCTACTTGTTTAATCAATTGCATTTTTATTCTACAATTAACATTTTAAAGCCTTTGTTTATATATTTTTTTTGTTAATATTTAAATTTGTGATCCTCAATTTTAATTTAGTTAGTAAGTACTTTGCTTGTCATCACGTTACTAATTACACATCGATAATAGTTTATATTCAAATGAAATTATCAAAGTATCGTTGTCTTGTCGGTTTATTTATGTATAAATTTTACGATATTAATTTTTTTTTTATATTTCAACCTTCGCTAATAAAAATCCTGAATACGCATCTGCCATCGATGGCTTGCAACTGGCCTCATAAATATTTTCTTTGGACTCGACTATACTAGTTGTTGGGACCGCGCGCAACCACCACCTTCTGCATTAATTATTTCTTGTTCACGTCTCAAATTTATAATTAATTAACATAGATAAAACTTATAAGTTATTATATAAAATTAAGTCTTAAAGCAGGTTTAGAAATTATTTATAACAATTTAAATTACAAATAGATTTGAATGAGTAGTGAATAAGTAAGTAGTATTTGTCAATTTCTCAAAATATGTTGAGAAAAAAAAATATTTATGTGTTTATAAACATGAGCGAAACATAAACTACTATTTTACTTGATATAGTATAGTACATATCATGATGCTATCATTTCTAAACTCTTTATACTACAATAAAAGCTCAAAAATATATGAAGTGGAAATTACACCACATCCTACCTTAAAAATTCAACATTCTAAAATCAGGTGGGAAGTTTCATAATTCAAAAATCAATTTTTTTAATATTAATTATTTAAATAAACTAATGAAATTAGGAAAATATCAACACCCTATCCACTACCCAAACCTGTAAATCTCCTCCCCCTCCCTCCCTTTTCCTCGTTTCTTCGGTGCCACTGAATAGCCACTACGAGTGGCAAACCATAAACATTTGTCGAAGACCACCAACACGCCACCTTTGGCGAGATGGCATACCCTGATTTACCACAGATTCATCACCTAGATAGTGACATTTGCAGACAGATTCAATCAATCTGGACAATAATTTTGCATCGCGCCATCACTGGGTCAGCTTCGCCATGAAGTTAGCCCTGGGCAATTAATTTCTGTGTAGCATCAAGGGCAGGCTCAATAGCTTTCAAGTAATTGGACAAGGTAAGGATGGTTTTGGTTTTGTTTGTTGGAGTGGTGGCGGCGCGGGTTGTGGCAGTGGCAACGATAGGGTGGAGATGACAGTGATAGTAAGGTGGTGTGATGATGGCAATTGTGGGAGGCTAGCAGTTTTGGATTTGATTTGTTGGTGGTGGTTGTCAGGCCCGGTCCTGGGGCTAGGCAAATGAGGCCTATGCCTCAGGCCCAACATCTAGGGGGCCTCACTTTGGGCCCAAAATTATGATTAGTATTATTTTAGTTGAACTTGAACCAGACCCAGTGATGCAGAAATGTAGCCCACAACTTCAAGCCCAAATCCAATCCAATGCCCTTAGCCTTAGTCCAATTACCCAACTATATATATATATATATCCATTTCATTTACGATAATTTTGGGAGGGGGGCCCAATTTTTAGGCTTTGCCTTGGGCCCCAACAATCACAGGACCGGCCCTGGTGGTTGTGTGTTGGCTCCGATGGTGATCGTGGCACGATTGTCACTTCCATTGCTGCTCTAATTTTGGATCTATTTTGTGGTGCTGTCACATTGGTGGTGAAGTGGTAATTTTTGGTGGTTTCAATCTAGGTGGTGTAGGTGGCGGTGGATGACGGGAGATCTAGGAAATTTGGATCCGATCTGTGGTCGTGATGATAGCGGTTACTGTAATAATTTTTTTTTTTTTTTGGTGGTGGATTTGACGTCGACAATGTGATGGTATTTTTCGCAGTAAGTTGATATGTTTGAGGTGGTGGTGGTTCTATCGACCACAATGGCGGAAGTAGTGGTGAAATGGTGGTCACAAGTATTAGTAGTGCTCACAAATTATTTGGTTGACTATAATTATTAAATTGGTTAATCTGTGACCAATAAATAATATGTTACCAATAAAAAATATAAATTTTGACTGAGAAATAATGTGTGATCTAAAAAATATTTAATCTACGATCGATAATTTGTAACTATATAATAAGTTGTGACTTGTAATATTTGTGATTTTTTACCAATAAATAAATCATGACTTATAAATTTTTTGAATTGTGACCGATGAACAAACTGTAATCTATAAAATTTTTGAATTATAATCATAAAATAATTTGTGATATAAAAATTCTAATTTGTGACGAATTAAATCGTTGATTTGTAATCAAATTGTATAGATCTGTGATCTAAATATATTTAATTAATAAATAAATTAATTAAATCATAAGTAAAATTTAATAAAAATTTAATTTTTGAAATTTGAAACTTGTTTTCTTGATTTTTAAATATGCAATATTTAAACTCTTATGAATTTTTTCCATGTATAAATTTCAGTAAAGGGATGATTAAAGAATGTAATGATGTACGTTGCTATAATTTATTGAGGAAATTGTGCCAAATGAACATTTTTCACTTTGGAATTATAGACAAATCTCATATTTAATACCGGTCGGAAAACCTCTCCCCATGAAGCAATCGCCGGACCTATGAAGCAGACGACATTCTATGAGGATAAGTTGTTCAGTGCGATTTTCTTTTTTCCGCATTTTAACCCTTCAACTCATTATCTTTCTTTCCACTGACTTATCCCTCTCATCCCATTGTCTTACTAGAACTAGTTGTCATAAGTTGGAAAGAGGGCTTATCTACGGAGACGAATGGAATGTTGATTCTCTACAAATTTTGATCCGGTTAGGGAAGGAGCACCGTTTTTCTGTTGTATTTTTCATTTCCATGTTTTACATTTATTTAAGGAAGAATTTGTTCACATATTGAGTATTGTTGAATGTGATTGTTATTTGTTCATATGTAACATTGTAAATACTGTGATTATACAGAACAAATTCAAGTTGCTCAATTATTTTTGCTCCAAGTGTTAATTAATCTTAACACAACATTTCAACATCTTTATTTATATAGACCCATATGAGTACATAATTGGTTACTTCATTCTTTGTCTCGTACATTCAGTCTTGCACATTTTGCATTTATCATAATAGCTTATAAAATGTTGATTTACTAAAAGAGACCTCAAAACGTTAGTAGGCTCGTTGTTTCGGGACTTGCAATATTTCTATTGCTAGAAGTTGGTCATTGAATCTTTTGAGNCAACTCAGCATTTCAATCACTCAAATAAAAGTATATTTCTTTATTCTACATACTATGAATTGAGGGAGTTTTACCATTCATGATATGTTTGTCCACAGGCCTCCCATTCAAAAGCTGTTTTCGACTAGCACAACCATGGTGGGACTCAAAGATACTGAATAATCCCCATTTACAGTTCAACTCACTCTTCTTCGCCCTCTCCTCAGGAATTCTTGCTGATCTCTTTGCCATGGCCATTCTACTCCACAACTTATTTTAGCATCAAAATTGACTCGTGCATCAACCCATAAAACCGAAAACTGGGAAAAGAAAAACAGAATAAATAAGTTTCTGACACTTTCTCGAACATGTACAAGGCAAGAAATCTTGCAGAATTTTCTTAATCATCACACACACATTTGCTCTCTCATAAGCAAGAAAACCTTCAAAATCAAGAAATCTTGCAGAATTTTCTTAATCATCACACACACATTTGCTCTCTCATAAGCAAGAAAACCTTCAAAATCAAGAAATCTTGCAGAATTTTCTTAATCATCACACACACATCTGCTCTCTCATAAGCAAGAAAACCTTCAAAATCAAGAAATCTTCTCTTAAATTATACACTTCAAACCAAGTTTTAAAGCTTGTTCAATACAATGCAACAACTTGTATCTGCACAAAATATTCAGTCAGTCAAAAATCTTAGAACTTTTTCCAAGAAATTCTAAATCATCATACTTACATTAGCTCTCGCACGAGCAGTAAAACCTTCGAAATCACTTCATTTTCTATTTAATTATACACTAAAATCCAACTTCTGAAGCTTATTCAGTGCCCATTCAACAACTTGCAGTTTTACTAAAATTGCTCCAATAAAAAATCTTGAAACTTCTACCAAGAAACAAATACACGAGACTTTAAGCAAAAGAACAAAAATGGGAGGTGAGATACCTGAAATTTCTCTTGTGATATCAGTTTTTGAGGAGTAATGGGAAAGAAAATGACCAGAAAATAGAGGAATTCTTTGTTTGTATTTGTAGAAAATAAGTATTAAAGTAAAAGGTTGTTTGACACTGACCATTGCCAGCGTGCAGCGTACTCAACTATTATATGGTTTTCCTCAACCACTGCATATGAATTTCAGCTCAAGAAAGATCTTTGAGCCCCTGTTTAGAATCATTCTTTCAAAATCATATTGTCATAATAAAATATTTTTCATGTAAATTTAGAGCGTGTTTGTCCCACACTTTTGCCCGACTAAAATGAGGAAATCTATAGTTGAACTGTTCAATAGGGGACTTACAGGCCCCCTCACTGTAGCTGGTAGGTCAGGTGGAACTGACCTGCATTAAAAAAGAAAAAAAAAATTGTGCAAGCCCCGCCCTTGAGTGCGCCCTGGCCGAGCCCTGTGAAATGCCCCTGTAAGTGAAGCGTCGTCCGTTGGTCTGTCTGACACCATGGGTCCTCCAGTGCAATCCCATTTACCGCAGTTTCTACCCCATTTTTAGCACATTTGTCCTTTGATTTTGAAAGGCTGCTGAAATCTTTCCTACTTTTGGTCCAATTCAATGAGGACAAAACGGGAAAGGTGTGGTAATTTATATACATGTGAAATGATGGCCATGCAGCTGGGCCCACCACGATTTGAGATGAAAAATGCATTAGTAGGATGAAAATAGGATCAAACGAGTGCTTAAATTTTTTTTAAACTTCTTAATAATCCATTCTCTAAAAATTTATTATTCAAAAATTCATTTTACTCCATGCTAATGTGTTTGTATGTATACATGTATGTATATGTATAGAGAGAGATGTATCATAAGCTACTAGTTTCCGTTTCCTTGATGGGGCGTCATTGTGAATATTATGGCGTTGGTCCTCGATCTATTATTCAAGTAAAATTTTCTAGTCCTAGATCTTAAAAAGCAAGTTGACAGGTGCACAATCAATATCCCATAAAGATTTTTTTTTTTCCAAATCTTCCTTAAATCTTCATATGTAATCCTCATAAAAACACGTCTCATGTTTGTTAAAGCTTATAAGTTATGAATTCTATAAAGTTTATGAATAATAAGTGAATAGTTAGATATGAATCCTACAAAATTTGTAGATGAAAGTAAGTTTGATCAATTTAAATTACAATTTAAGATTTTCCAAACATGCTAATAATTTGTCATCAACTTATTTAATTTTGAACCAAAAAAAGAGGAAAATATCATGAAATATACAATATTGGTTTAATGATAAGTTATTATTTAAGTTGCAAAATCAAATCAACCCATGCAATTTTCAATTTTGCATAGAACAAGTAATTGTCAGTTGTCACATATTTATTGACGGGCATGTGGAATTTCATTATGCATTATTGTGCCCATTTTTCTTGTCTCTTAATTTTGAATCTTACCAACTTGTCTGAGTTAGACACCAAATCATAGACAAGAACCAAATGTTGACATAACCATTCAATATCTAATCTCTTGACCTACATATATTTCTTTTTTCTTTTTTGGTTGAGAAAGAAAAATATTGCATTTTGTTAGGTACATAATTATAAATTATTTAGTTATTTTTTTACCTAATTTTTTAAACGATCGACTTTGCTCTGTTTAAGTCATTGAATTTTTTTTTCTTTTTTTCTTTTTTAATAAAAGTGGTTCTAACTCTCCAAGAAATTGCATCAAGACTCTTTTGAAATTCTAAGTTAAGTGGTCTAGTCTAGTGAAAATAAATAAATAAATTATAGTTTTATCAACTCAATTTGTATTGGATATAATTAGATAAAAAAAAAAAGACAAATTAAATTTTTATTCACGTTGTTATCCATCTCTATCTTCAATAAAAGGGTAATCTAGTTTTCTAAATAATTGCGTCTTCACTATTCTAAATTTTTTAGTCAGGAAGCTAAGCTAAGCAAGTTAGCAATCTTGTGATGTCACCATAAACACAACTCGATAGGACTTAATTGATTTCAAAAAGTCATAAATGTGACAATATATAGCATCTCTAATACACAATTTCACTATTACGTCGATATCAAGTTGTCGCAAAACGTGACGAGCAAATAGCACCAATCAAGGAAGTCTCCCACCCTTATGTCCGTCCTCATGATCGTCTCGCTCAAATTTAACGAGATCACAATTTTTTTTGCTTCAGAAATCATTGTTTTATCGAACTTGTGATAATAGTTAAATACTAACTCAACCATCGAGCAAGAGCAGATAGAGGATAGCCCGATCCAATCCCCAGCCCATTTCCATTTCTAGACCATTTTTTCCTCTGTTTTGTTTTTGTTAAGGATTTTTTGTCTTTCTAGTGTTTGATTGTAGAGTGGTGAATGGTTAATATTGTGTTTAAATTCTAATTATTGGGCTGAAGAATTAAAAAGAAAATCATCTAATTGTGTTGTTATGCAATCAATTTAATAGGAAAATAATACTAAAAGGTGATAAAACATCTTGAATGATATTTTGACAATCGTTTGATTCGTTTCTATATTTATTAGGAGTGAGTGATATTGATATACACATGGACCTGCAAAAGATGATGGTGACTATTGATTGATGGTCTGTAAAGAAAAATGTAGAGTTCTTGTTTTTATTTTAAGGGATGTGATTGGCTAAAAAATGGTCGCCTTTTCAAAATTTTTAATTTAGTTGATTTAATTTCCCATAATAATTGTAAAAAATAAAATCATCAATTTATAAAAATTTAAGAATTTTTTATTAAATTTTATGATATTATCTATGGATTGATTTTATATTTACATTGTTGCTACTTGTTTAATCAATTGCATTTTTATTCTACAATTAACATTTTAAAGCCTTTGTTTATATATTTTTTTTGTTAATATTTAAATTTGTGATCCTCAATTTTAATTTAGTTAGTAAGTACTTTGCTTGTCATCACCTTACTAATTACACATCGATAATAGTTTATATTCAAATGAAATTATCAAAGTATCGTTGTCTTGTCGGTTTATTTATGTATAAATTTTACGATATTAATTTTTTTTTTATATTTCAACCTTCGCTAATAAAAATCCTGAATACGCATCTGCCATCGATGGCTTGCAACTGGCCTCATAAATATTTTCTTTGGACTCGACTATACTAGTTGTTGGGACCGCGCGCAACCACCACCTTCTGCATTAATTATTTCTTGTTCACGTCTCAAATTTATAATTAATTAACATAGATAAAACTTATAAGTTATTATATAAAATTAAGTCTTAAAGCAGGTTTAGAAATTATTTATAACAATTTAAATTACAAATAGATTGAAATGAGTAGTGAATAAGTAAGTAGTATTTGTGAATTTCTCAAAATACGTTGAGAAAAAAAAATATTTATGTGTTTATAAACATGAGCGAAACATAAACTACTATTTTCCTTGATATAGTATAGTACATATCATGATGCTATCATTTCTAAACTCTTTATACGACAATAAAAGCTCAAAAATATATAAAGTGGAAATTACACCGCATCCTACCTTAAAAATTCAACATTCTAAAATCAGGTGGGAAGTTTCACAATTCAAAAATCAAAATTTTTTTAATATTAATTATTTAAATAAACTAATGAAATTAGGAAAATATCAAAACCCTATCCACTACCCAAACCTGTAAATCTCCTCCCTGTCCCTCCCTTCTCCTCGTCTCTTCGGTGCCACTGAATAGCCACTGCGAGTGGCAAACCATAAACATTTGTCGGAGACCACCAACACGCCACCTTTGGCGAGATGGCATACCCTGATTTACCACAAATTCATCACCTAGATAGTGACATTTGCAAACAGATTCAATCAATCTGGACAATAATTTTGCATCGCGCCATCACTGGGTCAGCTTCGCCATGAAGTTAGCCATGGGCAATTAATTTTTGTATAGCATCAAGGGCAGGCTCAATAGCTTTCAAGTAATTGGACAAGGTAAGGATGGTTTTGGTTTTGTTTGTTGGAGTGGTAGTGACGGGGTTGTGGCAGTGGCAACGATAGGGTGGAGACGATGGTGATAGTAAGGTGGTGTGATGATGGCAGTTGTGGGAGGCTAGCAGTTTTGGATTCGATTTGTTGGTGGTGGTTGTGTGTTGGCTCCGATGGTGATCGTGGCAGGGTTGTCACTTCCATTGCGGCTCTGATTTTGGATCTATTTTGTGGTGCTGTCACATTGGTGGTGAAGTGGTAATTTTTGGTGGTTTCAATCTAGGTGGTGTAGGTGGCGGTGGATGATGGGAGATCTAGGAAATTTTGATCCGATCTGTGGTCGTGATGATAGCGGTTACTGTAATAATTTTTTTTTATTTTTTTTATTTGACGTCGACAATTTGATGGTATTTTCCGCAGTAAGTTGATTTGTTTGAGGTGGTGGTGATGGTTCTATCGACCACAATGGCGGAAGTAGCGGTGAAATGGTGGTAACAAGTGTTAGTAGTGCTCACAAATTATTTGGTTGACTATAATTATTAAATTGGTTAATCTGTGAATAATAAATAATATGTTACCAATAAAAAATATAAAATTTGACCGAGAAATAATGTGTGATCTAAAAAAAATTTAAACTGCGATCGATAATTTGTAACTGTATAATAAGTTGTGACTTGTAATATTTGTGAGTTTTTACCAATAAATAAATCGTGACTTATAAATTTTTTGAATTGTAACCGATGAACAAACTGTGATCTATAAAATTTTTGAATTATAATCATAAAATAATTTGTGATATAAAACTTCTAATTTGTGACGAATTAAATCGTTGATTTGTGATTAAATTGTATAGATCTGTGACCTAAATATGTTTAATTAATAAATAAATAAATTAAATCATAAGTAAAATTTAATAAAAATTTGATTTTTGAAATTTGAAACTTGTTTTTTTGATTTTGAAATATGCAATATTTAAACTCTTATAAATTTTTTCCACGTATAAATTTCAGTAAAGGGATGATTAAAGAATGTAATGATGTACGTTGCTATAATTTATTGAGGAAATTGTGCCAAATGAACATTTTTCACTTTGGAATTATAGACAAATCTCATATTTAATACCGGTCGGAAAACCTCTCCCCATGAAGCAATCGCCGGACCTATGAAGCAGACGACATTCTATGAGGATAAGTTGTTCAGCGCGATTTTTTTTTCCCGCATTTTAACCCTTCAACTCATTATCTTTCTTTCCACTTATCCCTCTCATCCCATTGTCTTACTAGAACTAGTTGTCATAAGTTGGAAAGAGGGCTTATCTACGGAGACGAATGGAATGTCGATTCTCTACAAATTTTGATCCGGTTAGGGAAGGAGCACCGTTTTTCTGTTGTATTTTTCATTTTGATGTTTTAAATTTATTTACCATTTGTGTTTCCCTAATAAAATTTAAGAAAGAATTTTGTTCACATATTGAGTATTGTTGAATGTGATTGTTATTTGTTCATATGTAACATTGTAAATACTGTGATTATAAAGAACAAATTCAAGTTGCTCAATTATTTTTGTTCCAAGTGTTAATTAATCTTAACACAACATTTCAACATCTTTATTTATATAGACCCATATGATTACATAATTGGTTACTTCATTCTTTGTCTCATACATTCAGTCTTGCACATTTTGCATTTATCATAATAGCTTATAAAATGTTGATTTATTAAAGGAGACCTCAAAACGTTAGTAGGCTCGTTGTTTCGGGACTTGCAATATTTCTATTGCTAGAAGTTGGTCATTGAATCTTTTGAGAATATTGTCGTTCAGCTGTGAGCACCAATGCAAGGAAAAAAAATCATCTTCAAGAATTTAACCATTTCTTCGATCGAATATTAATCTTTAGTCTACATTTCTTCAATTGGGTAAGTCAAAACCCTGTCTTGTTTTCTACTCGTAAAAGGTGAATTATCAGAATATAATTTATGCAACAATATTTTCCAACAAAATATCAAAAGTAATCTATTGTTGTGTTTGTATTGTTCAATTTCACCTTATTACCACATATTGCGATTTGAGTAATACTATTTGTACATAATTAAAAAGAGGAAAAACGGTTTGGAAGGAAGAGAAAGAGAGAGATGACAAAAAGAAATAAGTTAAATTTTAAATATAATGTCATGTCATCAATCTGTAAATGATTATGTATAAATAGCTAATATTAGTCTTTCAATTTTATCTTGTTTTGGTGCTCTAATGAAAATTATTAACGAATAACATCTATTAATTATCATATCCAATGTGAAGTGTAGAATAAGAATACCATCAATTCATGTTTTATAAAAATTTGTATATTGCATAAAATGTAGTGGAAATAAATAAAGGAAAAATTAGGCCGGGTACCCTCAAAAAATAACAAATTAGATAATGCCCCCTAAAACTAATTAAAATCCTAACTCCCGTATGAATTACGTTCAAACCCTAGAATGTTAGAAAGGCCCAAAACTAGAAATCCCGAAACTCCCACCACGAATCTATGTGTTGCTTCCCACCATCAAGAATTGGTTGCTATCCATGACGAAGAACGAGGAGTGTCATCAAAGTTGAGGGGGGAGTTTCAGATTCCAATTATAGCAAATGGCAAGGATGCACAAATGTCTTATATATGGAGGCATTGACAGAAATTCTATAGACTGGAAGGATGTCCGTACGATGAGAGTTGTACATTCCTTCACGATGAGCAGTCTAAAGCCAGAGAAGGTGTGCCAATAAGTTTGGGAGATGATGCGTGTGGCAGTGATAGTGATAATGGTGGATCAAGCATGAAACCCTCAAACCAAAAAACAAGGATTTGTAATGAATGGTTGTTAATGGGGCAAGTGTTATTTTGTAACATAATAGGCATTGACATAAGTATGATAACTATGAAAATGGAGATGAAAAGAGGTGAATCATGATGAAAAGAGTTTTTGCAGAGAAAAATCTTAGGTATTTTAGAATATGGTGGATTTATAAATAAGAGGTCTTCAATATTATCTAATGATGAACTCCTGCAAATATTGTCTTCATTAAGTCAATCTGGGATATATTTTCATGATAAGACAAGGTCTGATGATGAAAGTAATGTTGCTTTTGACAACTTCTAGTAACAAAAGTTCTCGTGTAAGCTTTTATTGGTGGTAAGATTTTCCATTTTGATTAAATCATATTTGTCATTGTTGCAAATCCTGCTAATAAAATAAAATGATCTTGTGCAGTTGAAGAATACATCTAACTAGTGATTCAACCTAGAGTAATCATTATATGGAAATTAAGGGTAAAATAGATTTAATCTATCGATAGAATTACATCGGGCTCTTAACCACTTGATGAATAAATTGGTTTTAGAAAATTTTAAAAATTTACAATTTGCCAATGTATCAAAACTCTTTTCCGACTTCAATTACCACGAGCTCTTACCCACGTGATGAATAGATCGATTAACAAGTCACGAAAAGGCCTACGGCCAACTGCTACTCCTGAGATTGATGAGACATCTGGTTCAAGTCTAGTTGATCCATTGTCATTATGTGTTTATTTCTATAACAAATGATTTTTTGGAAGAATAGAGTTACTGCTGAATGCTTATGTCGCTTCTTCTTCTTCTTTTTAATTAATTTCGTCACTTTTTTTGAATTTGTATTTCTTTTTTATTTTTTCTCACTTTTTTACTATGCGCAACTTTTTTTAATTTATGTCACCTTTATGAATTCATTACTTTTTTTTATATTATTGTTAACGTTTTTCAAAAAGCATTAATGCTGCAAAGACCAATGCTCCGATTGCGTTACAATATGATATAATTTGGTAATACGCCAATTTGACCACTATTAGTATATCCTTTAAAAAGCGTTCCGAGTGATTGTTATTTAAGCTCCACGCTTTCTTTCCTTTGTTCTAAATTTTGGCTGAAAATCCACATTTTATTTCTCAATAGAAAAATGAGATATTTTTTAGCTTTATGGTGGTAAAAAAGTCAAAATAAGTGATTTTAGTCCGTATAAAAAGAAAACGGATTCTTGAACCCCTTTCATGCTCATGTCACGTCGAGATATTGTAGAAGAAAAAATAGTAACACATCTTCACAGACCAAAAACTACGAGATCACCGCTTTCATTCTGGGGTAACAGAAGGATCGTACCATTCAAGTAGCTATTGAATATAATCAAGTTCATCAGTTCAATCAAAGGGGGGAGCTTGTTTGAAGGGATATAGTGAATTAAGCTGTTCACAAGGGCCAACTTGATCCTCAAAGGAATTATTGGAGATTTTGTGTTATATATGCTAATCCTTTTGGTTTTTTTGATAATCGTCAATTAAGAGGATATTTTCTCCTAGCATCTCTTCTTCATGTCCATGGAGTTTTCAATTTTGACCATTATTATTATAACCGTAATAGTGCGAAAAGAAAGCTCAGCCCCACGTTATTCAAGAATAAGTGAAAACAAGACCAAATATAGTTTGATCATTATGAACAAATCCAAAATCTTTGATTAGGATTGTATTTTATGGTTACGATTCTACCATATATGTCTTTTTCAGTTTGTCGAAAGTATTTGTCACTTTTTTTTTTTTTTTTTGGTCACTTTTTTTAGTGTTTATCACTTTTTCAGTCATCTTCTTGATTTCTATCACCTTTTTAATGACAAACATAACTTTTTAATAAAAATGACATTTTTAATAAAAAAAAAAAAGTGACACTAAATAACTTTTAAAAGTGACATTGTCACCTTTTTATAAAAAAAAAAAAAAAAAAAAATTGTAACATTGTGTCAATTTTTAATATTACATAGTATTTTTTACTTCCAAAAAACTTTTCATAAGATTTTTCAAAATACCCCTAATTTTAAGGGAACTTTTGTAAGTTGCCATTTTCAACAAAATGATCAAAGTAGACAGAATAAAAATAAGCTATTGAATTGTGACTACTCTACCAATACTGCAATTCAATTTTACATTTTCCTCTGGCCACTGATAAATGACTTAATTATTGAATTGTGAAGATAAAAAGTGATTTGAGTGTTCATAAATAGTATATAAACATGAGCCAAACATGAGCGTCTGTTGGTACAGAAAGGTTTGATGAATTATTCTCATTATAGCTTTTTATTAGCGGCTTATTGTTCTCAAAAGATGTCAACAAGGGCTTCAAATTACACCGATATTGATTAGAAAATAGACGTTCCGACGACTTAGATTGTTGAAATATATTTTTGTAGACTTAAAGAGGCTTCGTTTATAAGCATGAAGTCATCTTTGTAAAACATGTCAAAGAAAGAAGAGTTAACCAAAACTAATATGACCAAATTATCGAGAATATTACTTAAATTTGTTATAGTTGTACTGATCAGAAACCAGAAGCTAATAACACTGGTCAAGAAATAGCATTTTTCTTAACATCTTTTGAAAATAAGCAATCTGATGATCATTGAAACACATAAATAGGACTTTTCAGATTTTCACTTTATTTATTTATTTATTTTTTATTTTTTTTTTCCATAAGAAACTTCTAGGCTATTTTCTAGAGAAAAATAAGCACTATTCTTAATATCAATTGCCAAAATCCTTTTTCCTCGTTCTGTCAACTGCTACATCTACTGAAAGATCTAAAGCTACTGAATCTTTGATACTACAATGGGTCATGTTAGTTCAATCCTCCCCCATAGGAGATCGGATTACTCTTATCAACGGCGGATATAGGTCTGTGTACAGAAGATAAGTATGAGAAAAATTTTATCAATCAAAATTGCTGGGAATCGCATACGCTGCAGAAACTGCAATAATTCAATTAGCAAAAATTTAATTTTTCTCATGAAGTTTCATATAGCAGCAAATATAGGGGAAAACAAGCCAATGATCTTCTATTAGTATTTGTATAAACACAAATTTGAATGAAGAATTTGTTTTCTGAAGTACAAAAGCATTTACAAAAGAATAATTTTAAGAACTTGACAAACCAGTCGATACTTCTAAGCATCAATTGGTACAAACAACAATAACAACGACAAACTAAGTCTCGTTTCCATTATATTTTTGGTCGACTTCTTGAATGATTTTTCGCCACTCAGTTCTGTTAAGCCAACTTGTCCCTCTATCCAAAAACAATTAGGAACTTGACTTTAGTTTGCCAATAAAAACTCGATGCAGCTTTAACGCAGTTGCATTGTTCATCAATCTCTATACTCTCCCTGAACTCCAAACTTCAACACATTGCTGGTCCTTCCGTGACACGAACATTTTATTCCCTCCGAAATTCAAGTTGGTTATCTGGCTTCCTCCCATATCCTTCGCTCTCCCCATCAAATTCCTTCTAAAAACTCTGTCCTGTAAGCCACCTTCCCGCGTTTTCAAGTTACCGGCCTGGACCTCAGACCACAGCTCCATGTCTCCTCCTTTACTACAGAACACTTGGTTTCCATGGCTTTCGACTTTACACCCAAAACCTTCTTTCTTCCCCTTGATCACTTTTCTTTCATCCCCCAGACAAACCCAAGAATTGTCAGCATCCATATTCCTTATATCCATAAAAAACAATTCACCCGAATTCACTCCAACCTTAAACATAGCCGATAAAGAATCTGAAAACGTGACATCAGAGAAACAATCGGATTTTTCCTTTAGTTCCCAAACTACGTTCCCTGATCTTATGTCCCAAAATCTTATATTTCCAGACACTCCGGAAGGTCCACTGTGTGAACCTGAGGCCATCAGCAAATTATGACTAGAAATCCACCGTAATTTAGTTGAAGGAACCGCAGAATCAAGCTGTGCGCCGAAAATTTCATAATGGCCAATCTCAGTCACAGGCCTTAAGCTATCATTAAGATCATAGACCATAATGCAATTCGAATTCCTCCTGCTCGACTCGAAGCTAGTGAACAAGTATTCAGGTGATGACCCGATTGCCTGCACTGTCGAACCAGACCTAGTAACATTCTCCCAATTCAAAGTCTCTTTAACAAAACCCTTATCAAGATCAATAATTTGTAACCCCGAAAAATCTGTGGCACCAGCTGCAGCAGTTTTTGGGGACAATGACAGTAATGAATCGATGACTGTGAATTGAGTCAATATTGTAGATTTCCTCTGTAGTGCCCAATCAAAGGAGGAGATTTTACTCCCATGAGCAACATGAATTGAGCCATACTGAGTTGTGGAGATAGCCGAGGGGGAATCCCGGCCACTCAGAGGCAAAACCAATGATTTTTCAAGGTTAAATGCATCAAATTGAGAAGGGTTTGATTGTGCATTTACAAGGAGGTTCTCAATACCATAAAACTGGGATTCAAAAATCAGGTCCTGAATATCAAATGCTTTGGCTTTTGAGGGAAGATTTCCAGTTCTTAAAAGGGAAAGCAAAACTGAAAAAATTTCAGGGTCTCTATCAATAAATGGAATTGTTTGATTAGAATTCGAAATCTTGGAGAATAACGATTTGGAGCCAGCTAAAGAAAGTGTCTGTTTGGTGGTTTGAAAAAGCTGACCATCCACATCAATTGTAACTATGTTTGAATTTGATTCTTGATTAAACCCATACGTAAAGGTATTTGATCCTGCAAATGGTGGCATTTTTTTACAATCTTGGTAGAAACTTAAAATTTTCACTTCAATAAGAGACAGAAGCAAAGAATCAAGAAACCAAAGTGTTTAATACCGGAAACTGGAGAAAGAATCTTGTGAACAAGAAATAAATACCTCAAAGAAACTATAAAAGGAATAATCTTGAAACCTTTGGTTAATTTCAAGAAAATACCTCAATTTTAGGGATGAAAAAGAAAATCGATTCAAATGTGAGCTTTCAGAGATTTGTGTCTAAAAAACTGTGGTTCGGGGGCTTTGCTTTTGAATGGTTGAAGAAGGAGGGTGAATTGGGGTGGATCTAGAAGGTCAAAAGCTCAGTGGAGCCCACAAATAAGACAATACAGCAGTATTTCTTAAGAACGGGAACGGCTTGAAGGACAATCTTACATTAAGATTTAGGCCACATGACAAAATTGTTGCTTATGTAGTCCAACGTGGACTACATTTTTTATTTGTTTTTACCAATTTTAAGGATTTTTATGTTTGTAACAAAAATACTATGTAGACCATTAAATCTGATTGCTCTGACCTTTAAAGATAATTTCAATGGTCAAAAGTCAAAATTATGAGGTTTAGAATTATTTCTTCATGAACACTCAAGATTATTTATATGCCCTTTTATTTGGTCATTTATTAAAGAGTATTCCATGTTTGCATTCTTGGGAATCAAGCATGTTATTTAAAAAATAAGGACAAGATTCCACTATAGAAAAAGTCAAAAATCCATACTCGTAGCGTTCAACCATGGCTAAAATTGAGATCAAGCAAGAAGTCAAATTAATTGTGTGTATATAGTATACACCATAAATAATTTAAGATTTAAAAATATAAGTTATCTGTCTTCGACATAGAAACAAAAATCAAACAAAAAGGTTTCATGATATATCTAATGTATTCATAATGATATATTGATATACGTCAAAATTTAATTGTTCCTCAACAATATTTGTTTTAAAAATATAAGCAGTCTTGTGACCAGTTGATCGATATTCATCCTGATTGTTATATGATTTTTCTGTCAAATAGTTGGAACGAACCATCAATGATCATGGTAGTTTGTAAAAAAATAAAATTAAAAGGATCATTAAAGTAATTTTCTCACTATTAGCCATTAAAGTTTATAAAAGGTCGACAAATGGTCACTCGGTTAAAAATGCTTATGTACCACCCTAATTGTTGCTGTTAAGTGTCATAATGTACGACTTTATTCTGTACATCACGTCACCACACAAGAAATTATTATATTTTTGTTAGTAAAAAAATTTTACATCTCAAAAATTATTTATTCTTCTATGTGTGAAAATTATGTCAGGTTTAATCTTACCCCTCAGGTCGTTTTTTATACGTGCTCTTTATATTTAATTATTCAAATAAGACGAATCTCAATTGACGTCAATTAAAATTTTATTTACATTGATGTCGGAATTAGCGATTATGGAATAGAATTATTAAATCTATTTTAAGTATTCATCTTTGACTAGTTATTTTAAATCTACTATTTAACACATTATCATTTCAAAATGTGTCCTACAATTGTTTGCTAGTTCTTCTAAACAATATCAAGAATCCACTCTTGTGGTCGAGAAATAGAGACCAAAAATAAGTCAAAAAAAGCTACGGATTAGATTCATTAAACTTGTTTCATGTAATCATTTATAACTAAACATTGCGACCTCATCGTTTAACGATTTGAATAGTTGAAAGGTGTGCTACAAAGTACACCGCAAGTACTTTAAATGAAGCCTAAAAATGGCTAAATTAGTATCAACAATCTTACTTTGTGTTTGAGCCACATTATTTTGAAAGAATGTATTTTGGAATAGTGGATTGATGGAAAATGTATAATTAAAAAATGAGGAATGATTTTGAATTTGTATGTAATATTATTTTATTGAAAAATGTGTGGTTGAAATGATATCAAATCACTGTTTAAAAGCAGTTTTTTTTTTAAAGTATGCAATTCAAACGTGACTCTTTTGTTTTTACATTCTAAGTGTTACGTTGACAACTAAACTTTCCTTGTAACGCAGATTTAGTGACACAGATTTAGTGATAAGGACCATGGTAAATTAGATTAATGATATTTCAACGCAAAAGAAAAAAATTATAATAATTAAGGCCCTGTTTGAGCTCTATTAATTTGAAAAAATGTATTATGGAATAATGATTAATGGAGAGCGTGTGGTTAAAAAAGAAGGAAAAATATTTGATTTGCACGTAATATTATTTTAATGAAGAATGTGTGGTTAAAAACGAGTACGAAAGAAAAAATAATGGAAAATAATGTAAAGCAAAGAATGACAAACGAGGGCTAAGTTTCTTTTCTTTCTATCTCTTTTTTGCTCCCTCTCTCTATTACATGTTATATATCTGTATATAATTATGTACACAATGATATACAGGTGGTATTACTTAGCAAATTATCATTATTTGTTGTTTGTTGCACAATTGGTCATTCAGATCCAGAACTATAAATTGATAAAAGGGAAAAATTCATAAACAAAAGTTAAAGTATCATTCATTTCAAAACTAAGAACAAATGTTTCAAATTTCAAAAGTAGATATTTATTAAATTTTATTTATGATTTAATTATTTATTTATTTATTTTATTAATTAAATATATGAAGGTCGCAGATCTATGTAATTTGGTCACAAATTAATAATTTAGTTAGACATATTATTTTTCGGTCACAAATCAAAAAAATTTATATGTCATAAATTATTTTATAATCACAATTCAAAAATTTTATAGGTCGCAATTTGTTCATCGATCACAAGTCAACAATTTATTTATTGGTGTCAAATTACAAATGCAATAAGTCATAACTTATTATATATTTACAAATTATCAAATTATCGATCATTAATTAACAATTTTTTAAGTCACAAGTTATTTTTTGTCACAAATTATATTTTTTTCATTGATCACAAATTAATCAATTTAATGGTTACAGTCAACCAAATCATTTGTGATCACCACCAACACTCGTGGCCACTACACCAATTTAATTGGTCACAAACCCTTGTTATAAAACTCTAACCCATCACCATCACCATCACCACTACCACCACCAGGAGATTTACCATCTCACCTCCACTGTCACTATCGACACTACAACCATCGCCACCACCATCTCACCAACAACACGGTTAGCGCCACCTGTACCAAGAAGCACAACCACCATCTTCATCTCCACCACACCACCACAAAAAAATCCCCAAACTCAATGTCACCGCCACCGTCGCTACACCACAACCAAAAAAATCCCTAAACTTGGTTTCGTCACCATCACCACCACTACCACCACTGCATGTTTCAACAATCACCACCACGACCACCTCAAATCCACCATTTGCTTCGCCTCTACCAACCACCAACATTGCCACTACCTCAGAGCACCGCAAATACCACCACCAATACAGCCACCACCACAACTGCACACAACCAACAAAAATCAACCCAAAATTTTCGGCACCAGATCGCGATCGGATCTCGACCAAATTTTCCCAATATCACAACCAAAAAAATTCACACAACCAACAAAACTCCAGCACCAAATTGCAACCATATTTTCCCTAGATCCCCCGTCACACTGCAGCAATGATGTCACAATGTGTACAATGGCTGCTGCACAGCGTCGCTAACATTGCGGGCAATGATGACTTGTCATCGGAGCAGCGACATCCACGGTGTCATCCGATGAAAGTTTTCGAAATCGGGAGATGGAAGAGAGAATTAAAGATGTTAGAGAGAGAGAATATAGGGTAGACGATGGAGAGAGGGAAGAGAATAGGAAAATGATTAGGGTTTCGGAAGGGTGGTTGGTCTAGGTTAGGTGTGATGAATATGTATATTTAATCTTGTAATATAATTTCTGATTTATGAAATAGTAAACTTAGCATATGATTTATGAAATTGAATCTTTAGAAGTAAGTTTTTATGTAATTTCCAATTAATGAAAAGTACTCAGCTAAAAATATAAAATTAACCTTCTAGTAGCTTCTTGTACTTCTTCCTCAATCTTCAAGCATATTAAAAAAATGCAAAGTCAACAATGACAGTATATTTTTATCAAGTCTTCATCGAAATCGAAAGTTCTTTAAAATTCAAACCAAAAAGTTCAAACGAATAAATTAACAAATTATTTTGCATAGAATATTTAACTGATGAATTATTGTAAACTTGTTCTTAGAGTAGGCATCGCTTCAAAATCGTGCTCCCCTCCCCTATTATTTATGGCTATATTCTTGAAATGCTCTTTCTAAATATATTCTTATCGGTCACCACAAAATGTCATGTCCCAAAGAAGCGTCGATCATAAAGAAATGGGTAATTGGCACAAAACGTCCCTACTTTTAAGGTTTATTGTGGAAAACGTCACCACCTTTCATTTTTTGGCCTTTTTGGCCTTTATTTCCACATTTCTTTGCAGAAAACATCATTTTCACCATTTTTTAATATAAAATGACTAAAATACCCTCCCATTTAAATAAAACCCAAAAAAAGAAAAGAAAAATAAATAATAAATTACAATTTTACTCCTAAATATTTTTAAAAGTGCAAATAAGTCCAAATAATTATTAAAATGCATAATAGCACAAAACGTCCCTACGTTTCAAATTGGTGAAAGGGTCATTTTCCACAATAAAACGTGAAAATAGGGATGAAAACGCAAAAAAATTGAAACGTAGGCGCATTTTCCCCAAGAAAATGTCAAACGTAGGGATTTTTTTGCTATTAGGCCATTTTAAAATATTAAAAATTGAAAAAATATATATCTCTATCTTCTCTTATTCTCCAAATAGGACTGCTACATTAGAAGTGAAAAAACTTTGACTAATGATCGCTCAAACCGTCGAATCTCCATATCGCTAAACTATCTGTTGATATTTTAAAACCATGAGAGAGGCGCCCTAGTGAGTATAGTCGATTGGTGTGTTGGAAATGACATGAATCTCTTCGAAATAGGTGATACCGCTAGCATTTACATTCGTGAGTTGGGTATTTTGGCTTGCAATTCCTAACAAATCTATTGACATGAAAGTTTCAAAATTGGATGTTGGGTGGTATGTATAGAAGGAAGTGAGGACTTTTCGGTGGTATGGTAGTCCAGCAGTTTGGATGGTGGTTTGCTGGAGTTTTTTGTCTTCTAAGGTGATTGGCCCATTTGGAGAAAAAGAGGAGAGGGGGGAAAGAGAGAGTTTTTGTTATTTTTGATATT